GTATTTTCTTCAGGTTGGGGGGGGGCTGTCTGTAAGCGAGGACTGGTCTGCCTCCCAAGGTCTGTGAGAGTGAGGGATAGTTTTCCAGGATAGGTTGTAGATCGTTGATGATGTGCTGGAGAGGTTTAGCTGGGGGCTGTATGTGATGGTCAGTGGTGTTCTGTTATTTTCCTTGTTGGGAACAGATTGTTTAGCATAAGTAGTTAAAACACATTCTATGGGACAATTTAAGGTGAAGTGGCTGGTTAACACTCTTGCAGTCAGAGGTCAAAGGGGGAGAGGGGGACTAGTGGGTTATAGAATGTTGTAATAAAGCCATCCAGTGTCTTTATTAAGACCATTATTTTTAGTGTCTAGCAAAGTTATGAATTTAAGCTCAGGCTGGCCTTCTGAAGGTGATGTGCAGGCTTCCTTTGAGGATGAGGACTGAAAGGTCAGGTATGGAGTGATCTTTTGTGAAAAGTGTTCACCCAAGAGTGATATGGTGGTTTTGTCTTTTATAATTTTTCTGCATTCCAAGTGCCATGCACTTAAGTCAGCTGATCTGGGCTCTGAGACTCGTTGCCACAGGTTTTTTATTGCAGTATAGACTTACCCTCTGAGTACCTTTCTCAGACCTGAAGAGCTCTCAGGGTCAGGAGCACCGCCAGCTTTTTTGCTGCCCTTGGCGGCAGAAGGTCCCGCCCCCGAAATGCCGCCCCTGACAGAGGCAGCGGAAGGTCCCGCCCCCGACAGAGGTGGCCAAAGATCCGGCCACCGCAGTCCCCGCCCCCCAAATGTTAGTGCCCTAGGCCACCACCTAGGTCGCCTAATGGGTTGCGCCAGTCCTGCTCGGAGTACCTCAAAAGCTTGTCTCTTTCACCAGCAGAAGCTGATCCAATAAAAGATATTATCCTGCCCGCCTTGTCTCTTGGAAAATAAATCTCCTCAAGGTGCTGGAACAATTTTTATAGTGGGGGTGCAGATGATGGAAACCATATATATATGCTCTTTGTAATTATTGTTGTTATTATGGCAGCACCACTGCATCGCCTCAGTCTTTGGAGAGAAAAAATGGCATTTGCTTCCCTTGTTCTCTCTCTGGGGACATAATTTTTTAAATAGAACCATTAGAAGTGATCAATTTGTTTAAACCAAACATTTGCCTCTGCTGTGTTGCACTAACTATGCTGACTAACAAATATGTGTCAGGCTGATTACTATTCATGGGGGCCTTTTCAAGAACATACAAAGCATTTTATTTTCTGCTTATCTATTTTTTCCTTCCTATTTGGTTATCATCTTTCCTCTTCCTAGCATTTTCTGCTTGGTACTGAACACTGGAGTCGCATTAGATGTCTATAAGACTTGGTCTAACCTTAAAAAGTTATATTGGTATCCCTGCATTGGTCAGGGGTGTGAGAAAACCACAACTGTGACCAACATAGCTATGCCAAAACCCCCAGGGTAGATGCCACTATGTCAATGGAAGAGCGCTGCTATCAATGTAGCTGACATTATTCAGAGAGGTAGTATTCCTATGCTGACAGAAAACCTCATTCTCTGGGTCATCTGCATCTACACCGACATAGGCTCCATAATGTAGACATAACATTACTCATCATTATAGAGAAACCACTGTGGTCAGGAGACAGAAACTCCTGACTTCTGATCCCAGCTCCAACAGTGATTGTCTGTGTATTCTTGAGTAAATTACTTTGATGCTCCGTGCCTCAGTTTCCCTATCTGTGAAACTGATAGTGATACTTACCTGGTGCCTTGGTAATCCTAAATGAGGATTAATTAGGTAATGTTTGCCAAGTGATTTATACATGACAAATACTAAGGGCAAGTCCACGCTACAAAATTAAGTCAACATAAATTGCGTTGACGTACACTGTAAATCACTTTCGCATGTCCACACTTGGATCATCATTTGTTCTTGCTTTCTTGGCTTCCCTTCATGCTTTGATTTTTCCAGCCGCCAAAGAGCGAAAACTGCTGTTGAACCCTTTCTGCATTGCTGAAAGTGTGGAGAACTTTGGTTTCCATTAGCGTTTACAGTGGCTTCAAAGGTTCTTTCATTTTTATTCTATTTCAGTGGTTCCCAAACTTGTTCTGCTGCTTGTGTAGGGAAAGCCCCTGGTGGGCCGGGACGGTTTGTTTACCTGCCGTGTCCGCAGGTTCGGCCAATCGCGGCTCCCAGTGGCCGCAGTTCGCTGCTCCAGGCCAATGGGAGCTGCTGGAAGCAGCAGCCAGTACGTCCCTCAGCCCGCGCCGCTTCCAGCAGCTCCCATTGGCCTGGAGCAGAGAACCGCGGCCACTGAGACCCGTGATCGGCCGAACCCGCGGATGCAGCAGATAAACAAACTGGCCCGGCGCACCAGGGGCTTTCCCTGCACAAGTGGCAGAACAAGTTTGGGAACCACTGGTCTATTTTGTTCTCATTTCCAGACTGACCTCAAACTTGTTAACACAGAGGATATCCTGGAAATATGTGAAAGTTATGAAACTACAGAAGCAAACTTGGGGGGGGGGGGGAAATACAGCAGCAAAATTTTTAAGTTGATAGTGAAAAAATAAGACATTAACTATTTAAATTTTTTAATAAATTCTACTGTGTGTTGCACTTCCAGCACTCATCCCAATGATGGCAAAGCACTTCATGAATATTAGTGCATGAAGCCTCATCCCAGACCTTTGAAGGTGGGATTATCCTCACTTTGCAAATGAAAAACTTGACCAAGTTTGTGGCAGAGCTAGGAACAGAAATCAAATCATCCAAGACTCTTGTCCTTCTCTTCTTAGAGAGATAATTTGCTATTGGAAACTGCCTTCAGAATCAAGGTTTTGTTGTTTCAGGGCAATATTATAATTGAGAACATACACCTGTGTTGCACATCTCACAATATTCGGTGTTTTTCTTAAAGCCTCAGCTTCTGGAGTCATGTGATCACAGTGGAATCTCAGCTTTCAGTAAAAAGAAAATATGTCTAGCCCTCATGCTTTTTAACTAAATCTTGCAAACGTGAACCACCAGTACCCTAAAAGCTCAAGAGTCAGCAGGCAAATAGAGAACCCATTTTATTTTTTAAGTCTCATGATCTTTAAATCGATCTTGTGATGGGGCGGACTCATATTTTTAAATGCTTGAGGGTTAACAATACTGATTGACTGAAATTAAGTTATAATCGGAGGAGGCAGGGTATATAATATAACCAATTTAAAACAAATGTCTGGCATGTACACACTTGATCAAATTAGAAAGGTAAATACAGTCCATGCTCCCTTGCAGTGACTGGTAGCAATGCTTGCTGCCAATAAGGTGCTGTTTAACACCCCTGTAAGCTATGCATTCTGTTAACACTTCACTGTATGGATTTTGGACCCTAAAACTAGAGCTGTAACATCCATTTTCATTGTAACGTACCTTTGTATCTCTAAACAGGAAGGAACATGGTAGAAATACTCCATAAATAACTGGATTTAGGTTCTGTCCTCATGGGTGTTAGTCCTTATCTGATCTTTTTACTAAGAAAAAGGACATGGAATCCACCAAAATGTGAGACCATAGACAACAGTCCCTCTAAAAATAGGCATTTAGTTAAAGCAAATGCACAGCTACAAGTTACCATTCTTATCACACCAGCTCTGGGTGCTGTGAAATCCAATCCATGGTAAAAATAGGTCTTCAATTACTTTCAGTGACCGGGCATTGAGTGACATGACAAACTAGGCTCAGCCTCCCTCAACACAGTTAAGCTTTGGTTGGTACTTTATATTGGTGGTCTTCCTTCTTCATCCTCATTTAAAAAAAAATCCGATAACTAATTTTGAGTAAATTCAAAATGCTTCGTGTCATGTAAACATTTATTACTTCTTTCCCTGTCCAGCATACAGATTAGGCCCGAAGTTACATCCTTTACAGCAAACTTTGATATACTAGGACCAATTTCCCCTTCTCTTACTCTACTGTAAGTCCATTAATTTCAGTGGAAATACTCTTGATTTACCCCAGTGCAAATGAGGGGAGAATTGAGCCTATTATTTTACCAGAATGCATTGCTTCCCCCACTACAAGCCAGGGTACTAAGAAATGTATGCCCTTTTTAGCATCTATATGATGGGATACATTACACAATAGAATTAGATGTGAGATGCCTCCACATCAATACAATACAAATACAAATAGTCTGATGGATTTTACGTTTACAGAACAGATTATTTAGCCCCATCTGCTTCCAAGGGAAATCACCAAAGCCTCTTTATTATACAGATTTTAAGATCCTGACCAATCAGCTGAAGATTAAGTTCTTGTGTTTTACTCACAACTTTAATCCTTGGCACCTGCTCCTGCTGGCAATGTCTGTGGAGTTATTTTAATGTACCTCTGGTGTAATTATTCTCCGGTTTCTTTGACCAAAAGAAGTGTTAGATACTCCAGCAGCTGGGATCAACATATTTTGTCAACCTCTTCATATCAGCATCCTGCTGTTAACTCCTGCTGTGAAGGATGGCTGCAGTTAGGCAGTGCACATCTGAAGATAATTCCTTATTGAGAGTGTAAACAGTATTTTAAGTCAAAATAGATAGGGTTTTTTTCTCTACTAGAAGCTAAAGAAAAAGGAAGTCGTGTTATATAGGTGGAGGGTCTTGCCACATTTCACTCCTTGTTACCACCCAGTTATAAAAAAGCCTTTTCATAATGTCTTATAATCAGTTAATAGGTCTCTTTTTGTTGCTATTGCATAGCTAGAGTTACACTAAACCAGGGGTCGGCAACCTTTCAGAAGTGGTGTCTTCATTTATTCACTCTAATTTAAGGTTTCGCATGCCAGTAATACATTTTAACATTTTTAGAAGGTCTCTTTCTATAAGTCTATAATATATAACCAAACTACTGTTGTATGTAAACTAAATAAGGTTTTAAAAATGTTTAAGAAGCTTCATTTAAAATTAAATTAAAATGCAGAGCCCCCCGGACCGGTGGCCAGGACCCGGGCAGTGTGAGTCCCACAGAAAATCAGCTCGCGTGCCGCCTTCAGCACGCGTGCCATAGGTTGCCTACCCCTGCACTAAACCATTACAAGACAGAGAGCAACAAATACACCAGCACAAAGTTATTTCCCCCCACCCCAATAATCTGCACAGACACAAAGTGCATTTTACAAAAAGTTTTGGCCTAAAAGCGGCTCCTGTATCAGCACTTAACTGACAGCTCTTCAGCAACATGTTCAGTCTTAGAGTCACCATCAACTTGACATCCAGTCAATTTGGGGTAGGGGGGAATGTAAAAAGTAGTTTCAGATACTCCACCTGCTCCCTAGTCCCTCTGCCAACTTTTGCTTTTGCTGTCATTCACATTTTCTGAACGTTATTTTGTTCCCCGTCAGTATGGGCCCATGCAAACAACAGTGAAACTGACTATGCGTAATGCTAATACATGCATAGTATAGTCACAGTAAGAAAGAAAAACAAGACTTTTCATTCTCCCCTCTAATTCCTTTTGCTTAGAATAAGCTTGTGTTGAAACAGTCAGATGTAGATAAAAATTCAGGCAAAGACATGATTTGACAATGTCCCTTTAAGATAAAACAACTAGTTTTTAATCAGAGAAAGTACTCTACAAGCCATTTAAAATATAATGCAAAATTAGTCTTAAGATTGCAGAATGGCTAAGGCATTTCGTAATGGGTAAGAGAGCCCTGTAGGTAGCTGGGTTCAAATTCAGCCTAAGTTAGTAACTGACCAAGAGTTCCAAGATCAGCAGGCTGTTCACTGCCTATGCGAAGGAGTATGGCAGTATTGCTCCAGTTCCCAGTGGACAGCTGTCCACAGTTAAAACCCCCACCAAGATTAGCCCTGCCGTGAGAAAACATGCCAATAAATGAATGAACCATGGAGACTGAACCTGAGCCCCAAGGTAGTACATACTAAATTAACTGGTTAAACAATTAAAATGAGACCTATTTTTCCCAAATAGGTATAAAGACAGGATTCTCATTTCACACATGCTAATAATTTCAGAAGTTTGTATTACTTCCCACTTGTTACTTTGTCCAAAAAGCACCCTACATTTTTACAATATGGAGTTCTGCAGTTATAAGTCATCTTAGACATGAGCCCCTGAGTACATTGTTTGGTCACCAGGCATGGCACTTACAGGAAAATGATAGTAAGAAGTTTGTCCATAGACTGCTCTATTAAGGAAAGATGCTGGAGTTGTTATGATAGTATGATCAGTTGGTATTCCATAAGTAGTACATGCAGGCTGCAAAAGGGATCCATTGGTTGATGTAGGAGGCAAGAACTGGGCTCCTTGAGAGGACCCTATGATGGGGAAAGGTGGAGCCATGCTCAGGCAGATGTTACTGGTCTGAGGATGACTACCCAAGGAGCATCTGGTGGCTGAACTGGAGAACCAAGGAGGAGCAGCAGCTTCGAGCAGCTGACTCTGGATTGGTGCAGGCCCATGTTGCTGCTCTTCATCCTGGGATTTCAGGCATCTACAGCAGCAAATACCAACGAAGGCCCCAATGACAATGAAAGCCACAAATATGGACCCAACGAGGAGGAAAGGTAAGTACATGGGCACTGGAAATGGAAAATACAGAGAGAGAAGTCAGTCATTTACTAAGGATAGTCTTTACTAAGGTCCTCATTTACAGAAGTTTCCCTAGCTATATCATGTTTCATACCCGGAGGTTTCACTAAATCTTTAAAGCATCACCACAAAGTCTTACACCCTACCAGCAAGGGTTCTGAGCCCATTAACTCTCCAAATGAATAGCAGGACCAAGATGGACTCTTGCCAGTGAGAAACTATAATGAAGTTTTTGCCTAAGCCCAGATATTAGGTCAGAGGTGGGCGCCATTGCCTTTCCAAATTATGATAATCATTTACACCTACGCAGAGTGCTTTTGAGACTAGTATTCTGATCTGGTAGCATTTCACACCTATTGTTTTCAGGTATAAGTGACAATACAAGATGCAAAAGACCAGAGAATTGAGCCCAGAACTTGTTTACTTTATAGAATTAGTGACGAATGCCATGTAGAATCTACCTGTACAGGACAGGAGTTTAGATATGGTCACTAAGCAGCTCTAGATCTTGCAATCCCAATTTTTACAAACCAAAAATTCACCATTTTAGGAAACTTGTAAGGAACCAGAGGCCTCTGAGCACCCAGCACATTAGCAGTCACAGCAGCCCACATTATGCTTTCTTCACCTTGGAACATAAATCCTAGCGCTTGGCTCAATGGCTTTTTGGTGCCTGGTCACTCCTTCGCATTTACACTAAGTCCGCAAATGCTAAACTAGAAGAACCTCAGCTGAAGCCTGGTTTCCACCCCACATCGTTCATTAGCTCTGGCCTGCATCACTAGAATTTAGACTAAGGCATCCTGGTTTCCTCACACTCAGCTCTGCTTATAGATCACCCATTTCCCTCCTCCTTCCCAGACAGTACCTTAGGGCTTGTCTACAGCTGGAAGGTGTTTCTGATTAAAGCAGGGTCTGAATTTAAAGTGCAACGGTATTCATGAATGGCTCCAGGGAGTTTGGGTTAAGCTGAATAGGAACAAGGCATTCATTCCAGAATAAGTGTGTCCACACATGGAGTTTAGAGTTAGTCAGGAGCAGTTAACCAGGAATTACTCCATGAATAGACTAGCCCTTAATTAGCGTAGCCTAATGCCCAGGCAGTTTTCTGCCAATACCAGCTATGGGGCACTTTGTATTCTACAAGGGAACTAGACTTCCATTTTAAAACGATGGGGGAGGGCGGCCCAGAAATACTCTTCTTTACTCACTTGCTATAGCTCATTCCCCTTTAAACAGGGTCCCACCATGGGTCAAGTTGTCTAGAGCTCTAAAGAGGGAGCAGACTTGAGTTGGGCAGCTGGAGCTTTGAAGGTGGTGAAGGGGGGGATTAGATGTGGAACTGTAGAGGGAGGCACGGGCTGGTTGGGTAAGATGTGGAACTCTAAAGGGAGAGTTTTGGAGTGGTGGATCTAAAAAGCATCCCAGCTCCCTAAGTGCACTGCAGAACCCAGGTCTCTGATGAAGTCCACCCCTTATCCTGCAGGTGCAGAAGGAGCCTGTTACCTGATGAAGGCTTGGGACTGGTCTGGTGATGGTCACTAGGACACAAGCCTTGGTCCAGCCGAGCCTCTCTGGTTGAGCAGCAGTAGCGCAGATTGCAGGTGCCGCAGCACAGAGTAGCCTCTGGGCTGTCGTAGTGCTCTGGGCACCGAAAGCCCCTATGCCAGAGCTGTGAGCTGTCCGCCCAGCCATGGCAGTACTCTCCATCCTGCCCAGAGGTGCCCCCCAGAGTCAACATCAGCACCAGGACACACAATGGCCCCCTCTCCATGACACAGAAACCTTCGGGCTTCCTGCCTTTCGCCCCCTCCGTCAGAGGGCTCAGACTGGAGACCTCCCTAGCCTGTCCCTTGGTTAGTCCACATGCTCTGAACTCCCTAGTTGCTTAGGGCACTCCCGAGCAGCCCAGACCAGGCTCCCTCCCGATTCTGTTAGCCACCAGGATGCCCCTGCACCCGCAATCAGCCCACCAGGATGTATGGCTGCCTCCTCCCGCCAGTCTGTGAGCTGTTTGTACTGCCTTCCCACAGCCTGGTCTAAAGCTCTGCTCAGCTCAGCCCTCAGGAGGTTTTATCCCCTGTCCAGTGACCTGCCTCCAATTCTCTCTCCCCCTCCCTCCCAACAACAAAGACGGACCCACTCAATTCGAAACCATTCCCAGCTCCTCCTGGCCTATCACCCCTCCCCCCCGTTTCCCATCCTAAACTCCAGCAGGGAAGAGCCTCTGTTTCCTGCTGGAGATGGCACATCTCACACACTTGATTAGCCATTGTCGCAAACAAGGGCACAGTTAGCCAACACTTAAGAGTGTGGGATGCAGCAAGCACAGGGCTAGCCTGGTACCAAAGTTCCATTCCCTTAGGGGCCTGCAGATGAGCTGTCAGAGAGGGGCAGCTGGGGAATGAGCAAAAACAATGCGTGATGACAAGTGAGAAATTAAATTTCACAAGCAGAGGGAAAGCACATCTACTGCCAGCTTCCAGAGGGCTCTTTAGTGTAATTGGTACAAATTGCTAAGGGACATTTGTATAACACCACGGAAGATAAGCCATTGTTCGCCTTGTTTAACATGGGTAATCAAGTATGTAAGTATACAGAACAGGATTTTGGTGTAAAAGTTTTGGCAAAATACATCTTGCGAGGCCGACATTTCCAAATCCTACCCAAGCTGCGCTGTTTTCTGTGCATAGTTAAAGGTGTGGAGGCTGAAACTTGCAAAGAACCTGCCACAAATCTGCCTCACAAAGCTCAGAGCAATCCATGAATCCAAAAGCACATTCAAGGGAACAAGGTGCATATTTTAAGAAGCCCTCAGTAACATTTACATAGGAATAATCACTGTTTTGCCAAGACTCTTTTCCAACACAGGAGTGCCTGACACTGGCTTTCATTGTAAATATGGAAAAGACCATGCTTTGCTTCTGGCATGTCTTCATTGGGGATTTAGGGTCTGGTGCTGTTACACTGATGTAGCTTTACTAGAGCAAACCCTAGTATAGAGCGTGGGTGTAAACCTCTTGGGTTTGGGGACCACTGTCCCTGCAATTACATTTGTAGGTAAGGCCCAGATCCAAAAAGGTATTTAGGCTCCTAACTTCCATTGATTTGAATACATTTGTAGATCCGGACCTAAATAGTGTAGACAAGATCTATGTTCCTGAACAGTGCTAAAGCCCTGCAAAACTTCAAGGCCCTGATCCTGCAAACACTTAAGCACATGGTCATAGGTGAGGAGGGAACGAGATGGGGCCAAGATCCTGAGTACCCACAGTTCCCATTGACCTCAGTGGAAGTTGTGGTCAGTGGCACTGGAAAATTTTTCATAGTGGAGCTGAAAAGCCAGCCCCCTTACCCCTGTCCACTCCCCCCCCCCTTCCCCGAGCTGGGGTTGGGAGTAGGGCCGTGTCTCTGGGAGGAGGGCACCCGGACAGGGGTAAGGGGGCCGAGGCTAGGGCCAGCAGTCGGGACCCCTAGGCGCAGAGCCAGTGGCAGGGGAGTCCCGCGTGCAGGGCAAGTAGCCCGGGCGCAGGGCCAGGAGCCGGGCCCCCGCTTATGGGGCTGGGAGCAGAGCCCTGCGTAAAACCTGGGGGTACTGAAGCATCCCCCGCACCTCTAGTTCCCGGGCCTATGGTTGTGTGCTTATCACATGAGACAATCAGGCTCACAGCAGGTAAGGCAACATCTTTCACTCCCCTATCGAAACAATTGGCAGCAGTGTTTGCAAATTGCTTTAAGATTCCAGGGTGTAAAACTCTTTACAGATGCAGCATTCATTAATGCACATAAAAGCTTGGCCCTGTTCTCATTGACTTTAAAGGGAGTTTTGCCATTAATTACAGATAGTGGATACAGAATAGAGTCCAGTTCTGCAAACGCACAGAAACACAGTCCAAAATGATCTCCCCTCTGATTACTCCTGTTATAACATTACAGACTGGCAAGCACATTTATGCTGTATTGACAATTTCATAGATTCAATTGAATCATATTTCCAATCTGCCAAAGACTTCAGCTCTCATCACCTTTGGCAGTCTGTCACCTTTCATGCCTCACTCTTTAATTGGCTCTTTGGCAAACATGTTTATGGAGATTCCTCTTCTCTGCTCAAAATGTTACTCTGAAATCTAAATAGAGATTTCATTTAACAAGAGAGATTTCCAAACACTGCTCAGTGAACTGAGAGATACTTTCTGCCCTGCTGCATTTTAGCTTTGCAAGAGACAGCTTGACTGATTTGCAAAGGACCTGATCCTGCAAAGACCTGAGCACCCCCTATGAGGTACGGAGCACAGTCTGAAGACAATGGGAGGTGAGTGAGCACAGCACCTTGCAGGCCTGGGCCCATAAACAACTGGGAAGATGCTTTATATTCTGTCCAGTCACAAGCTGTCAAATTTGTCTGAAAGCAAATGATGGTTTATTTAGGCATAGACCCCTACCTATATTGAACCAAACTAACTTCCATCAGGATTATTAATGATTAAGAATAAATGCTGAGAGGCTCTGGGAAGGCGCTCAGCACTTCTCAGGGGTTGTCACAATAAAATAAGCATCAATAATAATAATAATCAAATTAACACCCTACACCTGTTACAATGGAAGTACACTATTGAGGTTTCAAAATCAAGCACTCTGAAGTTAGGAAATGCCTGAATTAAGATTGTCTGTGCAACCTTGGTTCAACCCCCTTGTGCATGTGCATTATGATACAGTCATTAATTACATGGTCATGTATTACTTTTTTTCCTCAGGTCCCCTGCCTCATTCAGTGCACAGGTAAGTCCTTAAAACCTGAGCTCACATGTGTTCTGCATGGACATGAACATCCTGGAGCATTTTTATAAATTCAGGGGGCTGCTGTCGTGCCCTTGTCCAAAATCTCCCCTCTTCACATGGTTGTGCAGTGGACTGTGCTCTTGTCATCCACCTGGCCGCTGCCACAGAGCTTGCTGCACTATAGATGTGGTGTGGATGGTCCAAAGATTGTATGTGCATATGTAACTTGTGAACTACTTTGGGAGCCTTTCAGCTGAAAAGCTCTATACAGACAGACTGGGGTGCTGGTTGCAAACAGCTGTAATAAATGTGAAATGACAGTTTCCATTCTATTCTATTCCATTCTAATTCCCTGAAAACAGTCACTCACAACAGTCAGCTCCTCACAGGATCGGGCCCATAATATATACATGGTACTACATGAGGCATAATAAGTACATTAAATAAGAACATTCGCTATTAGCTTGTCCTGCAGCAGCAATGAAATGTTTTTGACAAAATGCCCCTAACAACTTGTGCCTACTGAGAACTGTCTCACTAATTCCTGTTCAAATACTTTGGGAAATGTCTTTGGTGCCCTGCAGTCACTGAGCTCTTTACATTTCATGAGTGCAGTTATTGAATACATTTTGCCTATGAGAAATTATACAAAATTCAATTATAGATAACCAGTCACATACCACAATGTATATCTGTACATGCACACACCATAATTCAGCCCATCTCATCCGATCCCATGTTGGCTGTGCACCATTAATGTCATCTGCCTCATTTGCTAACCACCAGGCGGGGCCCTCGCTACAACTCACCGGTGTACTTCACAATGCTGCAAGACTGCCATCTTTTCTGAGGAGTTGAGATTTAGTGTTGGTGAAAGTGCTGCCTTTACTGCCTTGGACACTGGATTTTTTTTGTTTAGCTAAAGACAAGTGGAAATACTGCAGGTTTCTTCTTCACTGATCTGCCAGTATTCCTTAATGCATGTAGAGGGGTCAACCCATGGAGATGAGGGGCTAGTTCAGAGTCCAGGTTTAATTACTGGGGCGAGAATATGAATGGGAGTCAGTGGGGATGGCGAGACAGAGACTGGACAAGGAGCCTGAGGTGGGGAGACTGGGACAAAGATGAGTAATGACTGAGATTGGATGAGGAGCATGAGTTGAGGAGAATGGAACAAAGTGCCTGGAGAGGGAAACTGGCACTAAGAGGGAGAAGTGGGGAGATTGAGATTGGATAAGAAGCGCAGGGGGAGACTGGGACTAGCTGGACAAGGAGACTGGCACTGGAAGCCAAGGTTGAGTAGAGACTGGGACTTGGACTGGTGGCCTGGATGGGAGACCGGGGCTGGCTGTGCAAAGAGACTGGGATGGGAATGCAGAGCCCATAAGGTGGAGACTGGAATTGGTTAGGCAAGGTGAAAACCTTGCGTGTGCAGTGTGTGTGCTTTATGGGCACTGAAGAGCAAAGCTGTCTAGCTGGCCTTGATGCTATTGTATCTAAAATCAGTTCTGTGCAATTTCTGGTCTCATTAGGGAATTGGGTCCTGATTCTCACTCATTTACAGTTGAGCAACTCAGCTGATTGGAGCTATTCCTGATTTACAGTGGTCTAAGCAAGTGGAGAATCAGTATTCTTAATTATCTTAATTATCACACTGTAAAATGCTTGAGGACAAGTCGGGGTCGTTGCTTTGGGCAGTGTTGGGTCCCTTAATGCAGGTGTCAGAGTATTAATGATGAGGATGGTGCTTATGACATTGACTTTATCCTCACGCACAATTATTTCAAATTTGGTGACAATATATACCTCCAGACCAGTGGCACTGCCATGGGCACCCACATGGCCCCACAATATGCCAACATTTTTATGGCTGACCTGGAACAACGCTTCCTCAGCTCTCATCCACTTATGACCCTTCTCTACCTATGCTACATTGATGACATCTTCATCATCTGGACCCATGGGAAGGAGACCCTGGAAGAATTCCACCATGATTTCAACAGCTTCCACCCCACCATCAACCTCAGCCTGGACCAATCTACACAGGAGGTCCACTTCCTAGACACCACAGTACAAATAAGCGATGGTCATGTTAACACCACCCTATACCAAAAACCCACCGACCGCCACGT